TGAGGTTGAGGCCAAAGCAAAATCCCAGATCTAAAAACGAGGAGAAATTTCAAATGTATCTCCAAAAGGTATAACTGAAAACATGCTCTATAGTATCTTTAGCCCTTGATTAGAATATTAACCACGTTGTACTAAGTGCATAGGGAGTTGCTGTAGTAGAGCCAGTTCAATACTCTGCTGAGTAAAGAACTAAGTCAGCGTCTCACAGTAAGATACAGCTTGATCTTTCCAGTGGAGACCAAAATGTGCCTTCATTAGTACACTTTGCTTGTTGTGTAGTATGTCGTGGGGGAATCTCTTTCCAAACCTTTAAAAAATCAGTTTATGGTCATGTATTAAAATATTACCATCAATATCTTTGCATGCTTAGCTTTAAATAATGGCAGAGATTCTCAACTTGTTGAAAAATAATTGTCCAGTTGAAGCAATACTAATTTAAACCCAGATATAGACCTTGCATAGTAGTATCAGTCATTGAATTAGCTACTGGTTTTAAAAATCTACCTGGAGTATTTGATTCTTTGGCTAATAATTCCATGAGCTGGTCATATGGATTGTAAAGAAGTATTTCCTTCTGGTTGTTTTAAATTACTTGCTGGTCATTTTATTCTAAGCCTCCCATTCTTTTAACACTATTGCTCTACTCCCTGCATTTCTAGTGGCTTTAAATACCACAGTAAACTCCTTTTATAATTTTTCTCAATTTCAGACTAAATTATCTGTAGTGTATTCAGATTTGGATCCTAGCAGTCCTATTCCAAAACCTTCTCCTGGGCCACCTGTCCTAACTGTCCTCTCCTGTCACGTGCAAGTCGTGTCCCCGGGCTAGGATGCCATCCCTGTGCTATGTTCATACTTCACATTCCTGATCGCCCAGTGCAGGGCACCAGCTTCCCTGCTTCAGGGAAGCTGAAGCCACCTATGCACACCTACTCATGTACGATGGGAGAGCCCTCCTGGAGGACACCCAGCGCTCTGGATCTGCTCCACATATGGTCTCCTGTCCCAGGACCATACGTGCTGCCACATCCCCATCTCCTCCTTGACACATGGTTTGGCAAAGCTTCTCCTCAAGCTGGTGAAGAGGCACAGGGGGATGCCGGGGTGGCAGTGCCTGGAAAGCGGCACTTGGCATGGGCAGCAATAGCTGTTCCAAGGTAGTTTTCACGAGAGATGAGTTGTTTGCTTGATGACTAGTGAATTTGCTTTAAAAGCACATTTTGGCTCATTCTAAGAGTTATTTGCAAATGTATTTTGAATTGGTGTGCGTGTGTCAAAATCATTTGAGAGGAGCAGCCTATATTTACCAAATACCTTCAGGGAGGAGCGGTGCTTCCCCTACACAGCAGCCTGAAGGTTGGGGTTTTCAAACAAAGCCTGGACCCCTGATCCACTCCCTCTTGTTCCTCTCTCTGGAAGGGGACTGCCCAGTTTGTCCCCAACAGCCAAAGTAGAGTCTCTGAACAGAGGCGCACTCAGTAGCACAAAATGAAGTGATATTGTGCTAGCTAAATATTTATTGAGGCAAGTTAAAAAAAAAAAAAAAAGAGAAGGGGATCTAACTTGGTAGCTAGGACATAAACTCCTAAAATTTGCTATGAATTTCAGCCTAACTGCAGTGCCTGTTTCAACATTACACAGGCTGCATTAGCATAAACAGGAAAGATGATTTTTTCTATTCCAGAATGCCACTTCCATTTTTGTTTTATTTTCTTCTATGCAATTTCCATTTTCTTATATTTGTAGAAATTTTGTCTGTGTAGATTCCTGCATGGCAGGCTAAATGTGCTCTCCAATGTTTCATGCTTGCTCCAAGCTGATATGGGTCAGGCTGTCACCAACAGAAGCTGTTGTCCTGTCTTCCCTTCTCCCATTTCAGGGCTGTGAATTCCTTCTTTCTCCCCTGCACTTTCTCCCCACATAGAGCTAGCACTATGAGGTTTGAAGGATAAATGAGAAGATTTTTTTTTTTTTGTCTACTAGTTTTCAGCCTCAGTCACCTTTTGCAGATTCCTTGGAATTTCTTCCTAATATCTAATCTAAATTTACTCTCTTTCAGTTTAAAACCATTACCCCTCGTCCTATCACTACACTCCCTGATAAAGAGTCCCTACCCATCTTTCCTGTAGGCCCCCTTTAAGTACTGGAAGGCTGCTATAAGGCCTCCTTGGAACCTTCTCTTCTGCAGGCTGAACAACCCCAACTCGCTCAGCCTGTCCTCATTGGGGAGGAGCTCCAGCCCCCTGATCATCTTCGTGGCCCTTCTCTGGACTCGCTCCAACAGGTCCATGTCCTTCCTATGTTGGGGGCCCCAGAGCTGGACGCAGTACTCCAGGTAGGGGCTCACAAGACCACGCTGCTTTTGATGCAGCCCAGGATGCAATTGGCTTTCTAAGCTGCGAGTGCACATTGTCAGCTCATAGTCAGTTTTTCACCCACCAATACCACCAAGTCCTTCTCCGCAGGGCTGCTCTCCATGCACTCATCACCCAGCCTGTATCCATGTTTGGGATTGCCCCGACTCAGGTGTAGGACCTTACACTTGGCTTTGTTGAACTTGGTGAGGTTCACATGGGTCCACCTCTCTAGCCCGTCAAGGTCCCTCTGGATGGCATCCCTTCCCTCTAGAGTATCAATCACACCACTCAGCTTGGTGTATCCACAAACTTGCTGAGGGTGCACTCAATCCCACTGTCCATGTCCGCGACAAAGATGTTAAAGAATACTGGTCCCGGACCCCTCAGGCACACCACTCATCACTGGTCTCCTCTTGGACATCGAGCCGTTGACCGCAACTCTTTGAGTGTGACCATCCAGCCCAATTCCTTATCCATCAAGTGGTCCACCTGTCAAATCCATGTCTCTCCATTTTAGAGACAAGGATGTGTGTGGGACAGTATGAAATGCTTTGCACAAGTCCAGGTAGGTGATGTCAGTCGCTCTTCCCTTATCCACCAACACTGTAACCCCATTGTAGGCGGCCACCAAATTTGTCCTTTTTGCTGAGTTTGGTCTTATGCTGTCATGTAACTGTACCCTGCAGTAGCAGTATTTTACCTGACTGAGGCTCAGCTGTCCTCTGAATGCCGGGGACCAAGCCAGTGCAATGCCAAGGGCTGTAGCTCCCACCGGCTTCGCTGGAATTAGCTTGCTGATGATAACGTCGTTAGCGCCAGCCTGGGAATGGAGCAGAGAGGGGGGAGATCGATGTATAAGCTTTGACTGTGCTGCTGCAGTGAGTGAGGCTTGTTGAATGAAAGACTTGGGCAGAAACCAAGTGAAGTAGTGGTATGTAGGGCTGCTGCAGAACTGAGGTGTTAATGACGTGCCAGCTAGGAAGAGTAAGTGGGTTCTGAGGCAATGCTGCACTCTTACGGCATCTTTGTTGGGTACAGGAGAGGGGAATTAAGCTGTTATGTTATAGTATTTCTATATGGAGCTACTGTTACGCATGGAACTACATTAACATTTGTGATGAGCGTGGAAGGGTAAATAAAGAGCCTTAGATGCTCCTGTGGTTTCTTGTCACTTCCCTTTCTAACAATACAGTAACAAGAATATAGGGGGGAGGAAAAGCAGGTGGCACTACTGAAATATGGATTCTGTAGTTCTTACAGGGTGTGAAAGACGAATTTTTTTTTTTTAATGATTACAATATACCAAGTGTGAATTGGATCCTTCTCAAAGCAAGGAATTAATTATGCTGCCTACAAGTTGCAATAATGTGAGGGAGCACCACACAGTCCTCCCATTGTGCTGCCAGTGCACCTGCACAACATCTCCTGTTCCACTTCCAGACTTCTTTTAGGCAATGCTTATTTGTGTCTTTTGTGGCTTGTAGTAAGACAGAAGTTGCCAGTAAGCATCGGAGTAGACAATATCTTGTCTTTTAACACTGACAAGATATGGAAGTATCATGATGAGTAAAGGTGGGGTAACCTGACTCTCGTAGAGATGTTTATCCTGTTTCTGCCTTCCAGAGTTCTGGTTCACTGTTAATTTTATAACTAAATCCCCAATCTTTATTGATCAGGAGTAAGGTTTTGGCATTTGCATTTCCCTGCTGTGAAGAGTTATGTGTCCTTTTCCTTTCTATCTCCTCAAATACGAATCCTCTCTAATTTCATTGAGTAATCGGTTATTCTCATGTTACATAAAACAGAGCACAGAAAGTCTGTCTTTTCTCTGTGCCATTTCATTATTTTGTGTAATTGCATTATGTCTCCTGTAATCTCTCCTTTGTAAGCTAAATAGTCACAGTCTTTTCTGTCTCTTCTCATATTAAAATTTATCCAAATCCTTTATTATTCCTACTGCTATTATTGTCTGAATCCCCTCTAACATTGTAGCGTCCGTTTTTTTTGAGATGTTGTTACTAGTGCAGCATGTGGCACAGCAGAGATAATGCTGATCTACATTAGAGCAGTGTTACCTCCCTGCTGGTCACCATTTTATTCCTCATTTATCCCAATATTTTTTTTAACTACAGTTAAGAATTTCGTTTAGAAGAGTGGTCTTCCTTGAGAAGTGTTCTGTGACCCTGAGGTGTCTTTACTGAATTGATAAAGTATGCTTTAAGAGGTATTAGAGCATGTGTAATTACATTTTCTCCCTCTAGCACATGCTGCTTTTAATGTTGAGCTCGTCATGATATTGTCTTTTTACCTAGCTTTTTTTAGGTTTATCTTTAAATTCTTCACTGTCATTTCTGGTCTTTCCTGACCCAAATAATTGTGTGTTGTCTACAGGCTTTGCCACCTCGTTGCTCACCTTCTTTTCCAGATCAAGAATAAATGTAGTAAACAACACAGAACTGAGTTTACCAAACCTTTTATCTGATGTGAAAAAAAAACCATTTGGAGACTTCAGTTAGGCTACTCAGATGATTTGATAACTTCTTTTTATTTAGATTTCAATAGCTAAAAGACCTAGATTGCTGCTGCTTTTTTTTCCATACAAAAACCAGAACAAAACTAAAGCTCTACCATATTGTCTTACAGACCCTGTCTAGAAGAATTTCAAATCCCTATTTGGAAACTCCTTCAAACAAGGTACTTGTCAAGCTTCTTTTTAATTCCATTTGATCAAACAACATATTAGGAATCTTTTTGCTTTGGTTTGACCTCTTAATCATAGCTTTGAAGACACTTGTGAATGTGGCCTGCAGTTAAATCCAGTTAACAAGTTACAATTTGTGCATGTTACAAATTGTCTACTTCTATTACCGAATTTGCAAACTGAATTGTTGTGAATACTGACGTGCACTTGCTTCCCAGCCATTTAAATGATTGCCACCATTTAGCTTACTTTTGCAATGTTTGAGAGCTCTGTTTTTGCATCTCACAAGACTTTCCTGTCTCAGGACTATTTTATATTCCTTGAAAGAGTCCTAAACATAGGAAACAAACAAACAAACAAAAAGGTGAAACTGCGGCATTGTTTTTCTTTGCAGTTAGTTATTTGTGTTACTGATGTGTTTTGCTGGGACGGTGAGGAAACATCACAACAGAAGCCTGAGTTAAATTCAGCAGTACGGAGTGGTGTACAGAGTCAAGGTGGAACATGGTTTTATGGAAGATGGAGTTGGGTCCTGTTTTGATAGACACATCTGCAGCCTTGAGATGTAAGGTAGAAATCATGGAATCATAGAATCATTAAGGTTGGAAAAGACCTCTAAGATCATCGAGTCCAACCGTCAAACCAACACCACCATGCCCACTAAACCATGTCCCTAAGCGCCGCATCTACACGTCTTTTAAATCCCTCCAGGGATGTTGACCCAACCACTTCCCTGGGCAGCCTGTTCCAATGTTTAACCACTCTTTCAGTAAAGAAATTTTTCCTCACGTCCAATCTAAACCTCCCCTGGCGCAACTTGAGGCCATTTCCTCTCGTCCTATCGCTTGTTACTTGGGAGAAGAGACCGACACCCACCTCGCTACAACCTCCTTTCAGGTGTGGGGGGAAGTCAGAGGTGTGTCCATTCTGAAAGACCACATCCTCCTGGCAAGGCATGGATGAACTGACCTGTAGCTATCGTAGGATACCTCCAAAGCTTCTGAACAAAAAGAAAAAACTATGAAATGGTGTTTCAATGTGTATTAGGCTTGTATTAAATTATTTAACTCAAATACGTATGGAATAATGTTTAACTGTATTTTTGTGGTTTTGCAATGGTTAATATAGTCTTTTTGCTTTGCTAGAATAACACTTGTTTTCATTTGAACTTGTCTGTTGTTCAAAGGTAAAGCTGACAGACGGTAAAACCTCTGCTTTTCTAAGGCAGCAAATGTAAAAGTAGTCCAGCTCATGGGGGCATCCGCAACCCGTGATACAGCGGGGCATGGCAGAAGTTGGGGTGCACTTCCTATGAGGCTTTGACTGCTTGCTTGTTGTTTAGCTGGGGAGAAGGCATTGCTCAGAGGGAGGGAGCGGACAGTGGCAAGGCAATTTACTACAGC